TGGGGGCAGTGTCATGCCACTCATTATGCCATCAATGTTTAACACATTCTTCAAACATAGGCCAAGAAGCAGTTGGATGGCATCTTGCCCTGTAGTAGCCTGCCATAATGAAAACTGGGCCTGATGACTGGCTTTGTGTGTATCTCTCTCTCTCTCTCTCTCTCTCTCTCTCATGCATACACTGTACTGTGCAAAAAATGCTGAAATTGAGGATGCTTGTAAAAACAACGAAATAATAGTTTTTATTTATCAACAGCCTAAAAAGTGCATAGAAAATCCTAAATCAAATCAATATATGGTGTGTCCACTCTTTGCATTTAAAACAGCAACAATTATCCTAGAATCTTGCACACGATTAAGAATTTGCAGGCATACGGTCCAGTGCATTACTAAACAGGTATACCAAACAGGTGCTAATGATAAACAAGATATCATTTGATGAAAATACAAACAATCAAACGGAATTAGCTATGTAGGGGTAATGAAACTGAGTGAGCAAAGCCATACTTCACTAACATGTTGAGATCACTAAACACAATTCAGTGTAAAGAAATTAAGACTATGACAAGACGGGACACAGCATGGTGTTACTGCATCAGCAAGGTCTCTCACACGCAAAAGTTTCAAGACGGGTGTTTCCAGATGGGCTATCCAAAACCATAAAGAAACAGGCAACATTGGGGACCAAAATGCAGTAGTTGGCCAAAGAAACATATTGCAGCAGATGAAAGACACATCATGCTGACCACCCTTCACTATCAGAAGATGCCCAGTGGCACCACCTGCTTAAACATGCAAAAACCAGGACCCTGGTATACCCATTAACAGTCTCAAGAAACCTGGTCAAAAGTGGTCTTCATGGAAAACTTGTGGCTCAAATGCGTACCTCTGACTTGGAGACAAGTGACTTGCCTATGCATGTAAACACAAGAACTGGTGTGTCGAAATATAGTCGCTGGTGCTCTGGACTTATGATTTCAAATTCAAACTATTTGGCTGTAACAGAAGGCAGTTTATACATTAAAGGCCTGGAGAGCTGTACAAGGTTAGTGTCTTCAGGCAACAATGAAGCATGGTGGAGGTTCCTTGCAGTCATGGGGCTTTATTTATGCACATGGAGTCATTGATTTAGTCAGAATTAATGGTTTCCTTAAAGCTGGAAAATACAGGAAGATACTTGTTCATCAGCCCTGCCATCTGGTAGGCGTCTGATTGGTCCCAAATTCATTCTGCAGCAGGACAGTGACTCCAAACATAAAGGCCAACCTCATAACGGACTATCTTTAGTGCAAAGAAGAGATGGCCCCCACAAAGCCCTGAATTAACATCATTCAGTCTTTTTGGGATTACATGAAGCGACAGTTGCAACTGAGACAGCCTAAACATCAGCTGTGGTTAGTTCTTCTAGATGTTTAGATCAACCTACCTGCCAAGTTACTTAAAAAAATAAACCCAAAAGCAAAAATGAAATTTATTGCAGATAACCAGTTGTTATCTGGTGGCTGCATTGAATTTCTTTTCCCATTAATTTTGTCTATAAATATTATCAGCAAGTTTGTCATTTTACATTATTCTTTAACAGGCCATGCTGTCCAGCAAAAGTAGCAGATAGTGGGTTGAGAGAAACCATTTTAACACTAGCAGGGGTGAGTACAATGATCCGCTTTTATTTATTTCTGTAAAACCTTTCCCAAAAGAAAAAAAAAGTGTTAAGCGTTAGCTGAAGTTCGAATTTAATTTGTTAATCAAGTCCATCTAAATCTGCTAGTGCATCTAAAGTAGACTATACACTGTGCAAATTTCAGCCAGATCACTAATGAAATGAAAATTTGCTCAGTGGATGCCCATTTTGGCACCCTTTCAGCCAGCGTTTTCCGATCAGTTGAAAATTCTCGGACAATCAACTGCGAGCTCCGTATTCTGACTCAGGTATTCTGACAGCATTCGGCGGCCTATTCCAATTGGTTTTGTTTGATCTGTTTATTGAAAGCAATTTATTTTTTTAATTCAGTAGGGAAGGGTTAGAGCTTGAAATCTAATGGGAACACGTGTTCCAGTGACAACTGTCTAAGAGAGGATTTATTTTACTTTAAAGTTATTTAATGAAAAGAAAAATCAATTGACAAGGGTTTAAAACCATTTCTTATTCTCTCCTATACTGATAAAGAAAAAAAATTATTTAGATAGTTTAAGAATGACTGGATTATCTGTCTATCCATGTCACAATTACAGTACAGGCAGTCCCCGAGTTACATACACCCGACTTACATACGACTCCTACTTACAAACGGAGGCTATTACTGTACAGCAGGAGTAGCAAAACAAACTTTACAGGAGGTAAATCCTTCCCTATGCTATCCAAAACAACAAAAACATTTTTTTGGCTGGGTTTACAATTAAAAAATGTACATGTTCCAACTTACATGCAACTAAAAAACATAAAAAAAAGAAAAGCTCCAAAAAAGGTAATTACTTACCTCTGTCTGTACCGCTCGCTCTGGTCTGAAGATCTAGAGCTTCTCAAGCGGCCATGCAGGATGATGGGGCAGGCGCATGCACAGTAGAGATCTTCGGCCGGGAGAAGAGGAGAGACATAGTGGAGGGGAATGCACGCAGCCGCGAGCGTGCACGTCGGACAGAAGACACAGCAGTCAGCGCTGGATCACAGACCGGCGCCAGCGCTGGAGGGATTGCTGAATACAAGTGGAAGGAAGATGATCAGATCAAGAGGCATAATTTATGATAAGTCCTTAAAGCTGCATAGCGGGGGGAGGGAAAGAATTGTGACATTAATGTAACTTTAAGTCTTGCAGTAATCCAAAGAATTTATTACTGAATGATAGATTTTCACTTTATAGGTTATTGTATGTGGTTTGTTTTTTTAATATACATTTTGCAATTTTCTCTGCACCTGATAAATGAATGAGCGGATTGCAACACAAAATCTACATCTGAAGGACCTTTTGCGATTTCTCAGAATTGTATGCAGCCGTTTAAATTGGCTTAGGGCTGGTTTACACCAGCTTCGGTGCATTCCAGCACGATTCCCTGAAATGGAATGTGTAAGCAAAGAAATGCTAGTCTTTTAATTGTTTTAATAATTATAATGAAAATTAAGGACTCAAGGACATACTTATTTTTCTTTTATACAATATACTATGTTTTTATTTTACTTTGGACTTGCACTTTATGAAATCCTTTACTGTAAGATTATGGTCTTGGTCTGTGCTGCATTCTTATTTGTTACATTTTTCCCAGGTTTCTTTAAGGATTACAGATGACCCCCCCCCCCATTATGAAAGGGGAGGGGTGTTTGTAGCCCTGTGCTAGAGTGGCAATGTGGCTCTTTTATAAATACAGTACAATAAATCAGTGTGTTTTTAAAAATATATTTCTTACCTTTTTAGATGTTTTTTGGTGAAGGCCTTTGTGCAGATTCCAAGCTACTCTGAGCAGTTTGAAAGGGAAAGTAGAGGGCCAAACGGAGCTTCTTCTCTTTAACATACAATGATTCTAAATCTTTAACCCTTTGTTAGGCCAGGTAGGGTTCAAATGTAAAAATAGATGATAGGACCAGCGCCGAATGCAACCAAACAAGCCCTCCTGTGGCCCAAAGAGTTAACAGAAATCCAGTGGGCTTCCCCGCAACAGACAAGGGATCCCGGAAACTGCATGAAAGAAAGAAGACACCGGGCGCCTAACCTGGTGCAATAATCCTTTTATTTAAAAAACTGTTTATTTAAAAAACACTTTTACTAACAAATGGAGCAAGAACGGTGACACATTAGACTCTTAGTCCTCACTGGATGAAGCACTGCACAAATGGATGAATGTCCAGGAGCTCTACTCGTAGTCAGTCTCACTGCCACTAAGCTGAATGTGTTTTCGGGGACCTTCCCCTTCATCAGAGCTAAGTGTTAACTAGTGCAGGTTAGCAGTTGCTTAGCTTGCTAAGAATTTTTTTCTATACTTGCCCCAGAAGTAAGATGGATGAGCATGGCGCAGTTAAATATCCTGCTTGACAAGGCAAAGGTTGAAGTAAAGGAGGTTTTGTAGGTTATACTGGGTACATCCTCAAATGTCTTCTTAATTTACCAAAGGTACTTCCAAATCTTTTTCCCTGAGCTTTATCAGTCCCCAAGAAACTTTTTAGTCCTGAGCCTTTTCCTCCGACTTGAGTTTTGGAGAGGTCTTAATTCATGCCTTAAAGGAGAACTATGAGGTGAGGGAAAAATTCCTCAGCCTCATAGTTCGAGCGACGTGTGACAATGAAACTGTCACACGCCGGCTCAATAGATCGGGAAGTGAGCGAACACATACTGTCGCTCGCTCACTTCTCGATGTCAGTCTACTACTGTCAGTCACGGCTCCTTGCAGGGATTACTCCCCTCTCCGATCCTCCAGCACTGACTGGAGGAATAGACGGGGGAGGGGGTGGGTACAGCTGGCTCTGCCTCTAGATAGGCAGAGCCAGCTGTCACTAACGCAGCTGGGTGGATCTCTACAGCATTGTCGGGATCCGTCCCGGCTGTGGCGGTGTCAGTATACCGCGAGCTGTAACGGTATACTGTAGCTGTAGCCCGCGATATACTGAGCTTTGGTTCACGGGAGGACGCTAGTATATGTCCTCCCGTGACCCTTAAGAGAACTATGGGGAAAAACACTTACCCCATAGTTCTCTGTTAACTGTCTGTCTCTGCCAAATTTTAAGCCCACTTTAAAATATAATGTAATGGCTAAACAAACAGTCAATCAAATGCAAATTTATTGAATGTTGTTGGGTGCTGCCAAGTTCAATCATCACTCATTTTGTAATGCGGTATAGTAGGAGGAATGTGTGGTGGGGTTGGATGCAGATGAAAAATCTACAGGGTGTTCTGTCCCCTTAATGGTGGTGGAGATCATTGGAGATTTTCAAAGCATAAATACATTTTTGCCTGTATTTTGTTTTGCTTGAGAAATGGTTGAAACAAAACAAATATTTGTTATTTTATTTTCAGTGATTGCAAGCTTTCGAGGAACAAATCCACATGGCTTAACACTGGAGATTGGGGACACCGTTCAAATATTAGAGAAATGTGAAGGTAAAGTTTACTTATTTGCCTAAAAGGGCTTGTCATATTTGGGGGGCTACAATTTGCCGTTGAAGTGCTTGTTTTGTGACTTCTATACTTATCCACTTTTTTTATATTTAAGTCTATATTAAATAGAGACCAAAGTTTATACAGGCTGGAATAACAAATATATTGAAGTAATTCACTCTATAGGTAGAAAAATCTAATATCCTCTCATTTACCACTTTATGGCCATAATATTTAGGAAGAAAATATCTGATGATTTAGCAAAATTTTATGACAATTTACCTCTTGACAAATAAACTCAATAAACCTCAAACAATTTGGACTTTAGTGTAAAGGTAGACTGTTTTCTCTATTGTCCATTGTAGGACACAGCTCTGAGGTATTCTGTGATGTAGGGTTGTGCCGCTACCTCCAGGAGAAATGGACACTAGGCAAAAAAAATGAAAAGCCTGCCACTTTAGTCTAATAGACCCCTGGTGTCTCCATAAAGAGAACCTGTCACTTCCAATTGCTATCACATAGGGGAATATTATCCCCTATGTGATAGCAATAAAGTTGAGTGAAAAAACATGTTTAAAAGGGTTAAAGTAAAAATTAATTAATTAAAATTAAAAAAAATAAAATAAAACCAACTCTTTTGCCCCTACCTTCTGCATGCGAATAAACATATGCGTGGGCCGGCACATGTATGTAAACAACGCTTTCACTAAACATTTTAGGTATCATCGTGAATGACATGAAAGAGAGTACAATAATTTTAGGGCCATAATTCTCTGTTAACTCTAAACTAATGAGCAGTAAAGGCTTTTAAAGCATCACATATGGCTAATTTTGAGTACCGTAGTTTTCACCATGTGATCCTATCTTTTATTTTTTACCAAAACATTGGGTATTATATTGTATTTGTGTGCACTAAAATTCATGTTAGTGTTTTCTTTCACTATGGCTTTGTGCAAATATCTATTTTTGATAGGTTTCTATATAAGGATTGGGGAATTCCAGTTAAGCAATTTCTTTTTCCTTGATGCTTTAAGTTCCTGTATCCTTTTTCGGATTATATTGTTTTTAAAGAAAAAAAGGTTTATTCCTCCAATTTTTTTTCTTAAAGGAGAACTATGAGGTGGGTGATTTTCACTCAACCTCATAGTTCAAGCCGACCTGTGACCAGGGCCGGATTCCCGACAAGGCCACCGAGGCCCAGCCTCGGGGCGGCAGGCAGCAGAGGGGCAGCACAGGTTTGAGTCTCCCGACGCCGGGCGGTAATTTGTTTTCTACATTTAGCCCTGCTTTGCACAAGCAGGGCTAAATGAAGAATAGGGGAAACCACTTGTTTCTTTACAAGTGATTTTCGGCGATGCCGCCGAGATAACTTGTGATTTGACTGCAGCCTGTCCGTCCTGCCCCCCCCCCCCGCACCTACCTCTCTCCATGCTGCGTCCTTCCAGCTCCGGCTCCGTCCTCTCCTCGCTGACCGCCAACGTCTTCAGGATGGAGAGCGGTGAGCAGAGCGGCAGGGTTAAAAGTAACCCTGCTGCTTCGTGTAGACAGTGAGAGGGGAGAGCAGTCTTCCCCTCTCACCTGTCACAGGAGTTCCAGCACAGTGCTGTGCTGGAACTCCTGTATTGGAGGGGACAGGGGTCAATAAAGAGAACCAGTCCACTCCAAATGCTATCACACAATGACTTGTTAGCTCCTATGTGATAGCAATAAAGTTAGGTGAAAAAAAATAATTACATAAATAAAAAAATAAAAAAGTAATAATAATTACATTAAAAAAGAAAGTAATAAATAAAAAGTAAAAAATTATACAAAAATTATTATAAATAAAAAATAATAAGATAAAAAATTATAAAAAAAGTAAAAGATGACAAGATGAATAAAAATTTTAAAAGTAAAAAAATTAAAAAGTGATAAAGTAAAAAAAAAAAAGAAACAATAGAAAAATTCAAATCAACCCTGCAACCCCCGCTATCTGGTTGGCATTCTCCATGGCGGGGGGCCTTGGGGCAGCAGGGAGGGTAAATCCGGTCCTGCGTGTGACAAAGAAACTGTCACACATCGACTCAATAGATCGGGAAGTGAGCGAACATATAGCATCGCTCGCTCACTTCTCGATCATCTTCCTGCAGAGAGCGGTGACTGTCACTCATGGCTCCCTGCAGGGATCTCCCCCTCTCCCCGCTCCGATCCTCCAGAACTGACTGGAGGAACGGACGGGGGAGGGAGCGGGTACAGCTGGCTCTGCCTCTACATAGGAAGAGTCAGCTGTCACTCACGCAGCTGGGTGGATCTCGACAGTAATGTCGGGATCCGTCCCGGCTGCGGCGGTCTCAGTATACCGCGAGCTGTAGCTCACGATGAACTGAGCTTTGGGTTCACGGGAGGACGCTAGTATATGTCCTCCCGTGGCCCTTAGGAGAACTATGTGGAAAAGCCCTGACCCCATAGTTCTCCTTTAAGGCATTGACTTATTCCTATTGATGATGTTTCTTCATTTAAGGATTCTACTGTCAAAAAATTGGAGAATCTTTCTCATACCATTTATCCGTTAACTAACAACATTTAGGGGAAGAAATTGTCAATACGAGGTTCCACAAGTTGATACATATATAGATTTTCAGGCTCTTTCCATCATATAACAATCAGTTGATGAACAATTTGTTTAGTAAAGATATTTAGAATGTGTGTGACGCATCAGGTTTTCTCAGAACTGTAAATGTGCTATCCCAAAAGAGTGACATATGTGACTGAAAAAAAGCATACTGACAACCAGGTCATACTGCTAGCTACTCTTTGGTAATCAATAAAAATCTAATCTAGTTTTATGCCTGCAGGTTGGTACAGAGGATTTGCCCTAAAAAACCCCAATGGCAAGGTATTGTAATTTAAGTTACCCATTTCCTGTCTGTGATAATGTGCATCAAGCTGTCCACATGTGCATGTATGTGTGGATTCAGCATTTAATCTGAAATGTAAGAATGCATGTCTTTAAAGGATCCTCTAACCATATTAAATGTATTGACTTTATGTTTTTTATGAAACCATGAAAAAATTGTAAGTGTAAGGCTAGCCAAAAATATTTTTCTTGGTTTTGGATAGAAAAGGGATAGGAAAGGATTAGAAGCCCTGTCAAGTTTTTACTGCTATTCAGGACATTATAGAGATTTACCCTACAGCCTGTTCTGCTGACTTGTACCAGACTGGAAGTGAGTAATTTTCCAACATTAGCACCAACAAAGATACAAATATTTTCTTTTAGAGTAGGAGAAATATAGAACAGATTTCAGATGTGTCGTCGTTGCAGAATGTCCCCAACTTTGTCTGGTAAAACCATTGTGAGCCGGACTGGAAGCGAGGGTAAATGGAGCCCCAGATAGCAGTAAAAGCCCAACAGGAGTTCTAATCCTTCTCCTCTTTGTCCAATACTAGAAAAATATTATTTGGCTTGACATACACTTTAGATCCCTTGAACTAACTTTTAGGTCTCAGGGAACCCCTGCTAATAACTATTATAGCTACAGATTATATGACTTTTGCATGAACAGAAAGTTGTGGCTAAAATAATAAATACAAGAATAAGGAATTTGGCATACTGAAAGCATTTTAAACCCAAGGCTGCTCTATACTAGAACATTATTTTTAGTTAAAATAATAAAATGAAACAAATCACAATGTCCAGAAAAGAAATGCAAATTTATAGTGCTTCCTTGGTCAGTGAAAAAGTTTCTCCATACATGGGTGGTCAGTGTGAAGGGCCCCCTAAGAATGATGGTCAGTTGGGAGAAGGCCCCCCTTACATTGGTGGTCATTGGGAAGAATTCCCCATACATGGCTGGAAAGATTAGTGGGAACTTTTCTATGAGGCAGACATTACTTTCTGCTCGCGGAAACCCAAGCAACATATGGAGGAAACCTTGGGTTCCATGAAACCCTGAATGAGAGAGGCTTGTAAAGATAGGTCTGTTAGAGAACTCGCATGCCAAGGATTTGTATCTGTTTTGTTTTATTTTTCTTCAGGCCCAATAAATATACTCTGCATTCTTTTACACAGTGGTATTGATTTACTAAAGGCAAATAAGCTGTTCACTTTACAACTGACCTTTCCCTTAGATTAGTAAATGTGAATAAAATTACCTTTAATAGAATATTCAATTATATTAATAAACAAAAAAAAAAGCATTTTTCTTGCACATAGTTGGATGAAGAAATTCAGCAGAGCTTCACCTTATTCACTAAGCTAAAGGGAAAATTCCCTTGCAGAGTTAACAGCCTATTTGCTTTTAGTAAATTAACCCCAATGAGTTTGTCTAGCATTCAAAATGTAGTAGATTTAATTTTACTGAACATTGAGCAGTAAAACTTTAAGTTTTATGTACTCTTTTTATATCATTCTTTCATTCTATAGTCATTTCATAAGAAGCACATTTTGAAACCGCAAATTGAATAGTAATGATGGCCTTTCCAATACACTTTACTGAACATTTCATTTGTCAGATGTGCTCACCGGAACAGCTTTCTTTTTGCTGGTTCAGTTTCAGTGACATTCTAAGGTCCAGAAAACGGTTAGAGCATTGCCTTTATCTGTTAATTCTTGTGTGGTGTTTTCTAAGCTTTTCCATATAAATACTGCTTTGTCTTTTCAGGGCATTTTTCCTGCAAGCTATGTACATATCAAGAACGCATCAGTAAAAAACAAAGGGTATGTACGTTTTAAATAAACGGCTTTCTTTTCCTTTTTTCTTTCCCTTTCTCCTGGCAGTGCTTCAGAACCTTTGTCTTGACATATATGTACAGTTGTGAATGGTGACTTTTTTTTAAAATTCTTTAGAAAGCAGATCTGAGTCACACAGTATGTGCCCCCACAATAGCGCTGCTACTGAATCGTTTTGCTATTTGTGTTATGGAAAGACAACTTCTCTTTTTCTTTAGTTAATTATATTAAGTGCTTATGTGCAACAAACTTGTGCAAATAACCCTTCCGTTCATAGCGATTTATGTTCATTGGGCTTCTAAGTTGCCCACACAATAGCAGATCTGGCAGATTGGATTGAAAAATGGCGACTGTATCTTTGAAAGACTTAAGCATATGTACATTGAGAGACTTCTAAAAACTGGGTCTTTTGGGTCAAAGCTATATGCTTGGATCAGGTCAGGTGTCCATAACACTTACATGATTCACATTCTGGTATGTGGAACGGTTCAGGGATTCTATAGCTCAATTATGGTTACTTTTTAAAATTCATCTGATTGTTGCCAGTTTATATAACTGGCTTGAGAAACATACGTGTGTGCGTGCGTGCCCCTTTTAACTGGCTTTACGATCTAGTCTGTGTGCCCCCCCCACTTTACCCAGGCAAGGAGCAACAATTTAGAGACTAGATAAGAATCGCACCATATTACCATATGCTTGGATCATACAGGTACATAACACTTAAAGGATACAAATTCCCGTATGTGATATTGTATAGCTAAATTGTTAATGTTATTTTTTTTTTAATTCATCTGATTAGTGCCAGTTTATTTAACTGGCTTTAGGGTATTTGTGTGTCTCTCCCCTGTACCCATGCAAGGACTAGCAGTCTAGAGACTAGATCTAAGAACAGCACTGCCTTGTACTTACAAATCTGCTATTACAAATCGGAAATAAAAACTATAGAGGAGCGTAATTTAGTAACAATGAATTTTAATTTAAGGCTTTGTTTCATTTTGACCCCTTATTATACCATTTTGGTTTAAGAAGGTTTAAAGTTGGAATGTTCAGATACCAGTGCTGATGCTTGGCATTTTCATGAGAACTACCAGGGTTGCAGCGGTTGCAGCTAGGACCTAGCTCTGGCGCTCCACTACTGTCCTGAAATCATTAGTCTGTATTGTTTTAGAAAAACTGTCACATGACAATAAACAAAAATGTATCGGTACTTGTATCTGTAAGGACTTGGGCAAGTATCCGTACTTGTATTTACTAAAATGGTATCGGTGCATCCCTTATATATGTTTATAAAAGCAAAATCATACAATAAAACAGAGATGTACAAATCCCAGGAGCTCCGTGTGCTCCTTACAAATGACAGCTGCCTCCTAACTTTTCAATTTTTCTCTAGTCTAGTCTTGGAGCTCAAAAACGTATCTGTACTTGTACTTATACCGAGTATGGTACGGTACTTGGTATCAGTGCATCCCTGGTTTAAAGCAGTCCTAAATCAAAAATACTTCTGCAACTCACAGCAAGAATGTCCTTTAGGCCTCTTTCACAAGTGTTAAAACTAGGCATTAGAGAAGCATTTTTAAGGCCTCTCTGTTGCCTATAATGTTCATATGGGATAAAGCAAAAGCAATCGCCCAGTGCTGTTCACACATGGGTGTTCGCGTTGTGTTGCTATGTGTGTATGTTGCGGTCTTGAGGCATTGACACTGGAATAATGCCTCCATTGAAGTATATTGAAACACCCCTCAAATGCTCAGTCAATGCACCTTTAGCATTTTTCGGGTATTTAAAAATCGCTGCACAATGTTTTAGGAGAGGCATATGAGGTTTTTCAGCCCTTGAAACCACTGGGGAATCAGAGTGAGTAGACAGAGCAGGTGCCAGCTGTTATCAGTGTCATCAAAGCAGTGCCAGCCACACCAGTGGCAGCCATACCATTGCCAGGCATTGCAAGTACCAGCCAGAACCAGTCATGTTTGAAATAAATGTTGCATGGCTAATTCAAGCAGTTGAGCAACACCTAGAATTGTTTGAGCATAGTCTTCCCAGCTACTGCGACACCTTCAAAAATATAGAAGTGAGTCCACTGCTGGTCACTTCCCTTTACTACATCACTTTACCCTTTAACACACTCCCCTACTTGCAGGGCATTTTTGCAAGCGTTTTTGACACCTCTTTAATACCTTAAAAATGCTTGCTGAATGCCTTGTTAACACTGTAGGCGCGTTAATCAGTGTTGCTCTTTCATTAAAGTAGAACTATGGGGTCAGTGTTTTTCCTCAAAGTTCTCCTAAGGGTCACGGGAGATCACAAACTAGCGTCCTCCCGTGACCCAAAGCTCAGTATACCGCGAGGTACAGCTCGCGCTATACTGAGACCTCCGCAGCCTGGACGGATCCCGACATTACTGTCGAGATCCACCCAGCTGTGTGAGTGACAGCTGGCTCTGCCTATCTAGAGGCAGAGCCAGCTGTACCGCCTCCTTCCCCGTCCGTTCTGCCAGTCAGCGCTGGAGGATCGGACAGGGGATGGGCGGAATCCCTGCAGGGAGCCTGAGTGACAGTCACGGCTCTCTGCAGGGACAGGATCGAGAAGTGAGCGAGCAACGGTATGTGTTCGCTCACTTCCCGATCTATTGAGCCGACGTTTGACAGTTTAATTGTCACACGTTGGCTCGAACTATGAGGCTGAGTGATTTTCACTTACCTCATAGTTCTCCTTTAAATTCTCAATGCACGTGTGAAAGAATCCTTAGAGGAGTATTCCGAAAATCCAAAATTATTAGATGGAGGAACAACGGTGACATCCATTCCGATCAGCAGGGGAGCCTTAGTGGAGTGTTTTGGGACCCATAAAGCCAAAACCCCTCTGGCATATAAAGTTTCCTGGGCCGGTAGCCTGACCTCGCCAAACAAGTCTCCTAAGCATCACTTTTGCACCTTAGGTAATCCATAACAATGATAGGCCAAGCTGTGAAAGGCACACATTTTAGTTGACAGTAGTCTGTCTTAAAGTATTATTATTTATTTTGGATAGAGTAAGGAAGGCCCCACTGCAAGGGTTAATACAAGTTTTGGAGTTGTTTTAAAAAAAAGCTACTGTTGGGGTAAACTGAACAAATATCTTCTTTAACCTCCCTGGCGGTATTCCCGAGTGTAGCTCGGGGTTACTTTTCCATACCATAAGCGGTAACCCCGAGCTACACTCGCGAATGCCGCATAGCATTTACTTACCTTGTCCCTCGAGCCGCGATGTGTTCTGCGGCCGATTCCGGGTTCCGTCCCTTGCGAGTGTACGCGTCGCGGGAGGGCGGAACCGGCGGGATATTTAAAAAATATACGAAAAAAACGACTCAGACGAAAAAAATTCGAAAACAAAATAGACCGAAAAATGACATGAAAAAAATAAAAAAACATTCCGTCAGGGAGGTTAAGGAAGGTCTAAAAAACCCCTTTGAAATGATTTATGCAACGCCTAGTAGCACAACAGATTACACACCAGTTTTTTCTAGGGGAAGTGCTGATTACTGGGTTGCATTTTTTAGCGCTGTTGTATATGGTAAGATTTGGCAGGTGCCAGGGTTTTCTGTTCGGTCTCTGTAGTCACTCCTTCTTAGACATTAGCATGCATCCTTGTCCATCTAATCATGCTTTGCATGTTAATATTAGGTTCATTAGAAAAGAGATAATTCTTCTTTACCTGACTGACATCTACTGTTTGTCACTGGCTTAAGAAGAAACTTTCTTCTTCACCTATTATCAGAATTTTGCATTGTTTGCAAAATGTATTCCACAGCATGGCTTAAGTACTGGACTGTCATAGCTTGTTCTGTATGGAAAATTATTTTTATTATAGGCATTAACGTAAATGTCCAACCTATTACCTGCCAATAATAAAACTACATGTTATTGAGTCTAAGCAATCTTTGTAATTAAACCGCACCATGTCTCTATATGTAATATATACACTGCCAGCCATTTTGTTTCTTCTGGATAAACATCTGGCTTAAAGTGACACTGAACTCAGGAGTTAATCATCTCTAAATTGGTGCTGACACTGTCCTTCTTCTGGTAGGTGGCTACTTTTCTTCCCCATGGTCCCTGTGTGTGTGTTGTAAAGTAGACACCGCACCAAGCTCGCTTTTATGATGGACTACAATCTCACATTTAGTTTACTAATTTGTATTGAGTTTGTAGTCCATCACGGGAGCGAGCTTGAAGTGGTGGCTACTTTACAACACACACAGGGACCATAGGGAACAAAAGTAGCCACCCTCCAGAAGGAAGGACAGTGTCTTGATCAATTCAGAGATGATTTGAGGAGTCTAGAGTTTAGTGTCAATTTAAATTGCAATATATACAGTACTGTGCAAAAGTTTTAGGCAGGTGTGATAAAAATACTGTAAAGTGAGAATTGTTTCAGAAATAAAAGTGTGAATAGTTTATCTTTATCAATTAACCAAATGGAAAGTAAATGAACAGAAGAGAAATCCAAACCAGTATTTGGTGTGACCACCCTTTGCTTCAAAACAGCATCAATTATTCTAGGTTCACTTGCACACAGTTTTTATAGGAACTCGGCTGGTAGGTTGTTCCAAACATCTTGGAGAACTAACCGCAGATCTTCTGTGGATGTAGGCTGCCTCAAATCCTTCTGTCTATTCATGTAATCCATGACTGATGCGATGTTGAGATCAGGGCTCTGTGGGGAGCCAAACCAACGGTTCCAGGACTTCTTGTTCTTCTTTACGCTGAAGAAAGTTTTTAATGACACTGGCTGTATGTTTGGGGCCGTTGTCCTGCTACAGAATAAATTTAGGGCCAATCACACACCTCATTGATGGTATGGCATGATGGATAAGATAGGAGAATAACTGTAGAGAGTGAAGACCAGTGGCTGGAACCTTCACGCTAAGCACAGTTAGAGAATAAGAGTTTGAATAGTCTCAATCGCTAGACCAGAATCAGTGTTGGGGTCACAAGCGAAGATCAAGGCAGCAGAAGAAATTCGTAGTCGGGGTTACAAGCCAGTTGATTCCAAGTAGCAAATGAGGTAGCACAAGGCAGCAGACTGGATTATATGTGGAGCACAATAATCTGGCAAAGAAACAGGGCGGACTATAGTATGTACAACTATAACAGATTCAAGTCCAGAAGCAAAATCCACAGTGGCAAACCTGATAAGTCATGCTCTAGTGCGTGGGACACCCATGTCCAAGGCCAGGCAGCCTCAGTTACTTATCATAGGTATCTGCTTGTATTTGTCAGCATTAAGGACACCATTGATCCTGACCAAATCTCCATTTGCAGAAATGCAGCCCCAGACTTGCAAGGAACCTTCACCTTGCTTCACTGTTGCCAGCAGGCACTCATTATTGTACCGCTCTTCAGCGAACAAACTGCCTCCTGCTACAGCAAAATATTTCACATTTTGACTTATCAGTCTAGAGCACCGGCTGCCATTTCTCTGCACCCCAGTTCCTATGTTTTTGTGCATAGTTGAGTTGCATAGCCTTGTTACCACATCAGAGGTATGGCTGTCAAGAAGCCCGTCGAAGCACTATGGATGGTGGTGTGCCGCAGGCATCTGCGCATGCGCATACACAGGGTGTGACCCATCGAGCTAGCCATGGGTGTGCGTCTATGCGTGGATGTGCGTGAGGACGCGCGAGCATGCACCACAGATTCTGGCGCCAGACGGGCTATTTAAACTGTGCCTCCTGGGTGTTTCAGTGCTGGTTGATCATCAGCTATTGCAGCTAGTATCTTTATATATATATATATCTATATA